ATTTTTCTTGATAAATCGCCCTCCTACTTTTACTATTTGAGAGAAACTGACAAGCTTTCCTCACTTTAAAAAAAAACAACTTCTGTCTTAAATTGTTACCTGGTTATTTGCAAAATGAATTTTACCATAGTCGCCTTAACTAGTTGCTTTGGGCAAATTTTCATTTATAAGCAGTTAGAAAATATTTCCATGTATTTTAGACATTTGATTTCCTTCTCATTCTCACGAAAATGAATGGTGGATATTAAAAGTACTTGCTAGAGTATTCCCAAAATTTTTAAAATCAGTTTGCATGTAAAAGAAGTTTTCCTGTTGTAGAAGAACTGGAAAGGATCCGCAGGGATGAAGAAAAGCAGCAGCCTGAGTGACCTCCTCCCATTTCTCTGAATGTGGGTTACAGTATGCATGCTTAGGAAATTAGGGGGTCCGCGAAAGAGGGGAAGGCGCTCAGCAAGATGGTGAGCGGCTGCAGCAGTGCACCAGGCAGAGTACCAGTAGTGAAGGTGGCTCAAGGGCTAGGCAGGCTTTCATTTGTTGTATGTAGGGCTCCTGGGCCCTGACACCTAACACCAACATTATGAACATAGCAGAGATCATAGTACACATAACATTTTATACCCTGCTTCATTTTTTTCACTAAATCTTTTTCCATGCCATGAAAATGGTTTTCAAAATAGTGATTCTAGATTGGTCCTTTATGGAGGTATACCATAGTTTAATTTTCAGTTGTTGTGTTCCGTTCTGGGCTATTCTGTTTTTCAGCAGTGAACATAATTTTAGATAAATCTTTCAGACTGCAGTGGGTTCCCCCACACCTTACAGTAGAATTACTGGATCAGAGAAAAGACTCTTTTTAAAAGCTCTTTGATAAAGATGATGGTTGCGTCTGGAATATGTGTTCTCATTTCCAGCCAGCTGTGAGAGTGCCCATCTTGTCGCGTCTTTGCCAGTGTGGAACCCAAGGTTGTATTTTAAAAATACTTCCCCTTTCATTTTTGCTTGCTAATTCAATTCAGTCATTTTTAAAAAGAATGTACCTGTTCAAGCCTGTTTTAGGTTTACTTTCAAGACAAACAACTTGTGATATAATTCGTAATGAGGTAGGGAACTTCTCAATTTATTAAATTAAACAAATCAGATTACAAATTAGTACGTGAAGAAGCACATCGAGAAAAGTCTTCGGGTAAGCATTGGAACAGCATTGGGTACCTCTGATGAGCATGACTGCTTTTACATCTTACGCACTTCTTTATTTTCTAAAGTGTCTGCAAGCACGCCTCTGGTCATAAATGTAGTTAACGAAAATGATCACCCACTGCCTTGGGGTCCATTCCTCCTTATAGTGACCCTCCTTCGGGTTTCCTAGCCTGTGAATCCTAACAGGAGGAGGATGCCCACCTTTCTCCCCTTGAACAGCAGATAGATTCCACCTGCCTTTTAGTTAGCAGTGCGGGACTCTGCAGCTTATGGCACCAGAGCTCCGATAACTAAAATGACAGAGTCTCCTAATTAAGTTAACAGTATAAATGCTTTGCTTGAATTTATTGCTGCTCGGCGCCATTGTGTTGGCCCTCACACATAAAAAGCCCCGTGTACGATCGAGCCAGGCTGCTTGGTCCGGCACTATCTTCACAGTCACCCTTGTATTCAAGCCCAGTGCTGCAGCTGCTGTGCCCATCCGTCCAGTCATCCACTTTTCTGCTCACCCTCTGCTTTACCGAGTATGGTGTCTCCCTCCAGGGATTGGCCCCTTGAGGTTACATAATTAAACACGTGAAAGCCAGAATTCAGTGAGACTGCCTTGTTCGGTGGTTCCTCAAGTTGGGCGTTTCTTTCCCTTTTGGCAGTGTGCAGTCTTCACTCTTCTGGCGCTTTGTTTAATGGCGTAGATGGACTTTTCTTTCTTTGATAAGCATACGCTATGGCTTTCACAACTTTCACCATAGAGCAACTTTCCTTGCTTAATAAGAATTTGCTACAATATGGATTTTTTTTTTATTGCAGTGCTTCTCAGAAGTTTCTCAAGTTACAGGTTTCCCCTGGTGCCTGAAAGTTTTATAAGCTGAAATGGTATTAAAGTGAAGACACAGTTACCATTGTGGAAAGAAATTTTGTGTGCTCTCAGACCCCCCCCAAAAAAAATAACCTTCCAAATAACACATAAAATGTCAAATAACATTAACATGGAGTATTCAAAGACAGAGTGCAAGGCAATGATGGTGCATGATGGTAAGGCCGGTGTTATTCACAGGGGGAAAACCTGGGGACACCGTTCTTGCTGCTGGGGTATGCACTGCCTCTTTAACAGTTTTTACTGTAAAACAAGCTCTAAGCACCAGTTTTGCTTTTCACCTTTTTTTCATAAAAGTAAAAATCCTCTTTGACTTTCAGTTAGCAAAAACAGGTGCTAAGGTAGGCCTTTTGTAAAAGTGAAGTGACAGAAAATGCCCTTTGAAAGGTGAGGAGACTGTTGTTGTTAGGTGCCATCAAGTCATAGGCGACTCATAGCAACCCTATGAACGAAAGTCCTGGACACCTGTATAACTTCCATCCTTTTTCCAGGTTCATAGGGTTTCCAGAGGCAAGCTATTATGGAAGTGGATGCCACTCCTGCTTCCAAGCTTATTTTGATCGGGTAGCTCCACCAAACACTGTCCACCATGGGTAACCATTCTTGGATTTGACTCATCGGTGTCACAGTGTTCAGTTTCACAGCAACCACTAGTTACCTCTGTACAGCAAGTGGACATACCAGGGTTATACGACCTAGAAGAATGTTTCACCAAAAACAATTAAAGGCAGGCCTGAGGGCTGTGGAGTAGAGTCACCCACCTTTGGCTTGGGAGCATGACTTTCTGTCCACTAGGCCAACTGCTTGCACGTGCTCTCTCTCACACTCTCACTCGCGTGCCCTTGTGCGCGTGCTCTCCTCTCCTCCCCTCCCCTCCCCTCCCCTTCCTTCCCCTCCCCTCCTGTTGTTAAGTGCCATGGACAACAACATGAGGATATACTGGTAGTAAAATTTTTCAGAGAAGTATCTGTACTGAGAACTAGTCTGCCCAACATATGTATAGCTTATTTAGATGACAGATTGACTTAGAGAAAAAGAGGGACATTATTGGAATTTATATTGGTCTTGTGCTACACCAAAATTGTGTGGAGCACTGGTGACCTAGCGGTAAGGAGTTGCACTGCCAACCCAAAGACAAGCAGTTCAAATTCACCAGCTGCATACAGTGTGGGCAGTCTGCTCCCATGTGATTTATAGCCTCTAAAAACTCCACTGGAGGGTCAGCCGTGAGTCCAGTCTGACTCAACAGCACATAAAAACAACTAACAACACACCCAATTGCTTAGAGGTCAAGTAAATCAGAGTACTAAGTGTTCTTTATATTAAAAGAAAAAGGGAGTCAGAATGAGATACCTAGCCACCAACCATTTGACATTTACATGATAATGAATTGCCTTTGGTATAGCATTTATGTTTTTAAGACATAGATTTGTTAAAAACCCACTTCCTGTTCCTTTTGTGATTCATAAGCATTCCTTTTGTGGTTCATAGCATGATGTTTGTGTGTTCATGCTTTTTTGTATGACATGTGCCTCCCTTAAACCTTGTTACAATGTTGGCATATTACCCATCAGACATGAGGAAAAAAAATACACCACTTCCTCCAGATCATCTCTTCTCATTGTTGTAAAGTTGGAAGTGACTTCCTCCTAAGTGGCCCTCTCTTGGGCTTCCAAGACAGTACATTGGGAGGGCAGTGTTCATCTTTCCTCTGGCAAAGCCACTGGCGGGTTCCAGCCACCAGAGAGGCACAGCCTTTGGGAAAGCAGCACCTCTCCAGAACTACACTACCAGAGCTCCCTTCAGATAGATGCACACGGTGAAGTAGTTAATATGAATCGCCCAGTAAAGAGACAAGGTATGTTTAAATCGGTTCACTTCCTTGATCAAACTCATAATTTGAGAGGTAAGTAGCACAGATTAAATTGAAGTAGATGAGCATATTTTCACAATGTAATCAGTGTGAAATCACAAAATACTTTGAGTTTAATCTACTGAGAAGTAAAGCTATCTAATTCCTTTCTCTTCCTTTATCCCCTCAAATTGACCTTACCAGGTTCCCAAAGATGTGAGATTTCTTTTGAAGATTCCCATTAATTGGAAATCAAAGTCCAACCAGTTGTCACTGAGTCAGTTCTTCCTCAAAGCACCCCTATAAGATAGGCCAGAACTGCCCTAAAGGTTTGCAAGGTTGTACATCTTTAGAGTAGCAGATGGCCCACAACTTTCTCCCAAGACCTGACCTTTTAGTTAGCCTTTGAGTGCTTAATCATTGCTCCACCAGAGCTCCTCACACAAGACAGATTTTTTTAAGACAGATTTTGTTTTGAAACAACAAAATTGATTATCCTCAAGTCAATTCCAACTCCTACTGACCCAGTACAGCAGACTACAACGGCCCTATAAGGTTTCCTTCCCTGTAATTCTTAATGGAAGCATACCGCCACATATCTCCCATATCAACTGGTGAATTTGAACCACAAACCTTGGGATTGGCAACTCAATTCCCTATAAACCAGACCACCAGAGCTCCCTAAACCACAGACGTTTTGGTTGGTAACTTTGAAGTTGAGCATTTAAACACAGAGCATTCAGGACTGCGTAAGTGGAAATAATGGAGGAGAAGGTTTTTTCTGACCATCTGGCGGGTTTTCAGAGGCAGTTAATTATACAGGAGATGATGGCTCAGCTTTTCTCATGTGAAGCAGCTGGTAGTCTGGAACCAAGTGCTTTCAGGATTACAGCGTAGCTTCTTGCCCCTACGCTGCCAGAGCTCCATTATTTCCAGGAGGGAAAATAGCATTATTAGTTATAAAAGTTTGCAATAACCAGTTTGTTTTCCTTGACAGAGATTGGTATGTCTAAAAGCTGATTATCATGGCCTCAGAAAAATCATATACTAATGTTATTATCTTCTTGTTTGCTGTAGATGTGTTCATTGTGCCATTGTCCTGGAGCAACAATTGGTTGTGATGTGAAAACATGTCACAGGACATACCACTACCACTGTGCATTGCATGACAAAGCTCAAATACGAGAGAAACCTTCACAAGGAATTTACATGTAATTATTTAACTTCTGTCTTCTCTTTATCCCTTTCCCCGAGTCTTACTTATGGTAGCTTTTTGTAAAAGTTTTCCAATTTTCAAAGTATTTTGTCATCTTAAAAAAAAAGTTTTTAGTAAAAAATCACTGTTGTCAAGAAATGATACAGGAAGATTAATAATAAGATTTTTGGAATCCGGTTTGTCAGTGAGCTGGTTGATGTGCACTGCTCATTTCTTTAATTTTTTTATAATTTTTAATGTCTTTTTTTTTAGGGTTTATTGCCGAAAACACAAGAAAACTGCGTATAACTCTGAAGGTAAACATTTGACCACTTTTCAAGTTCAAGACAAAATTTGAGTAAAATTAAGAAGCACTGATAGGAGGTGCATACTGTGTCAGACTGCCAACCAAAAGTTCAGTAGTGCAAATCCACCAGGCATTCTGCAGGAGAAATATAGTTAGATTCCTGTGAGGGTTTAGAGCCTCAGAAACCAAGGGGAGGGTTGCTGTGAATCAAGATCCACTTGATAAAGAGTAGGGTAGAAGTAATTTATACTACATTTAAGTTTTACTATAAAATGCATCTCAATTTTAAATATATCGTAGATTTCTATTAATATCTTATTGAGGAAAAGTAAAAGGATAAAATTAATAAACATAGTGAAAAGACTTGCATTTTTTTTTCAGCATTTGAAGTTTGGGGTTTTTTTAATAATTTTAATGAACATTTACAGAAAATTTGGATTTCCATTCATTCATTGCTGCACTTCTCTGCCCGCCCAGCCCTCTCCCCACGCCCCCCAGTTCGCTCCTCTCTTTCTAAAGCAAAAGAAAGACTCCCTCCCTGGTACACAATCCCCCTGCACCCCTCCCACTGCCCCAAGTACACTCCACTATGCAACCTTAATTGTGGACTCTTGTAATAACCATAATACCCTATCATACGTCGCTTTTAAATTATTCAGTCTCTCATTTGTTTCAGTGCAGTATACACAGTTTATCCAGTTTTTCTCAGTCTTACCCCACCCTGATATCAGTCCCATTTTACAGCAGTGGCACCATGCAATATTTGTCCTTTTGCGACTGAGATATTTCACTCAGCATAATGTCCTCCAGGCTCACCCATTTTGAATAATATTGAATGAGTTCCTTGTTTTTCAATGCAACATAGTATTCCAATGTGTGAATATACCACAGCTTCTCTATCCATTCGTTTGTTCATGGGCACCTGGGTTGTTTCCAACTCCTTGCCATTGTGAACAGAGCTACGATAAACATGGGTGTGCATATATCTGCTTGGATGTCAGTTATGGTCTCTTTGGGGTATGTATATTCCCTGGAGTGGAATTGCAGGATTAAATGGTATCTCTATTTGCAACTTTTTGAGAAAGCGCCATACCTCCTTCCACAGTGGTTGCACCAAAGACTTGCATTTTTATGAAAACCTTTAGCCCCAAGTTTTTTTTTCAAGGTATGTTCGTCTTTAAAAAGAAATGCTTGTGGTAAATTTCTCTTTTCTGTTAAATATGTTAATATCTTATAAAAGTCAACACTGAAATCTTTGCTATCTTCTGATGTTACAGAGAATGTGATTTCCCCCGATACAGTATATCTTTTTCATTTCTTTTTTAGTCATTGATTGTTAGACCTTTTCCTCCCTCCACCTCCTTCCACCCTCCCCCAGTTCACTTTGCAGCGCACCTCTTGTTCCACATTGTTGTCATGCATATAATGACTGAAGAAAATGTGAATTTGGGAATGCTGGTATGTTTTGTGATCACCGGGCTTTGTTTTATTTTTATTCACTTTGTGTACTACCTTTAAAAAAATAGATTCATAAGAAATCGGTTTTAGATATAAACTGTAGAAATTATATTCTAGTCTGTTTCCACTTACGTCCATACACAACCTGGTTGGCCATGTTTATTTAGCCAAGTTTGTTGGTATTTAAAGGGTTCTCAGAAGGAATTCTGACTTGTTTCAAACCTATTGATATGTTGATCCACTTACTCATTGCAGTGGAGTCAGAACTGACTCATAGCTGACCCACCAGAGGGTTTTCAGAGGCTGTAAATCAGTCACATGGGAGGAGATTTCTCCCTGCAGTGGCTGATGGATTTGACCTGCCTGCCTTTTGTCTGAGATTGTTGTCTCCATACAGGTTAGAGATGATTAGGGGTTTGTTAGCGTCTGAGAAGATATTTAGGATTGTTGTTAGGTGCCACCGAGTCAAGTATGACTCATAGCGACCCTGTGAACAATAGATCTGAACCCTGATCTATCCTGCGCCATCCTCACACTTCCTGACACACCAGAGTCCACTGCAGCAGTCACTCTGTCAGTCCATCTGGTGGAAGGTCTTCCTCTCCTTTGCCGACCCTCCGCCCTTCCCAGTATCATGTCCCTGTCCAAGGAATAGCACCTCATAGCAACATGCCCAAATTATGTGAGGTGAAGCCTCATTATTCCAGCTGCACCCTCCCTAAGACATTTAGGATTAGGACTAGGATAATTTGATTCCTGCCATTTTAGTTGGTTTTTCCTTTATTTCTACCAATTAACCTATTTATCATTGAATGACATATTAAAAACTTTGACTTTGTGTGTGTGTGTGTGTGTGTGTGTGTGTTTTATCTCCTAGTTGTTGGCTTTGATAAGGCCAAATAGTTTTGTTTCTATTTCTGTAACTCAGTATCATAAAACTTTAGAGTGCTGGTTCAAAATGTTCTTACGGAATTAGGTGATCTTGTTGTTATGTACCTTTGAGTCAGTTTCGACTCTTTGCTCCAACGGGTTGCCAAAGGCAGTATATATCACATGGGAGGGGATTGCTCAGCTCTCTCCCATGGAGCAGTTGATGGATTTGAACCCCTTGCCTTTGGATTGGCAGTACACCTCCTTACCACCAGATCATTAGAACTCTCTGGTTATAGTCTTTAGCAAAAACTGATCTGTAGGGTAAAGACTGTCATTGTGTACCATCGAGTCAGAGCTGACCCTCTAGAGGGTCTGCAGAGGCAGTTGAATTGCACAGGAAGATATTGCTCATCTTTTGTCTGTGGAGCAGGTGGTAGATTTGAACTGTGTGCCTTTGGGATTGGAGCAGTTTCTTACCACTAGACCACCAGAGCTCCCTAGGTAAGATTCTCTAGGTAAAGAAATAACGATTTTTGAGACAATAATGAAATGAAGCTGCTTAACCTTTGTGATGCCTTTCTTCATCTCCTCTCACCCCACTTAATTCTAGATTTGAAAAATCTCTAGTGAAGGGTGAGTTTTCCAGCCTTTCAGCACTTCAATTTCTAACAGCATATTTAGTATTCTTTAAATGGTAGGGATCAAACATACTAAGCCAAGGATTGAGACTTGTTATTTGACAAATACAAGTATATGAGAAGACTAGGGTAGGATATTTGAGATCTAGAACTGTCATACATCATTTGAGAAGGCTACAGCACTGATTAATATAAACACACGCCCCCTTCTTTTAATCCATAGATTTTTGAAGTTGATAGTACCATCTAGTGGTAAAGAAAAGTCATAGCAGCCAACAGCATGTAGACTTATTTTGACTCGTTTTTGCTTAAGCTTGTAAGAGAGTTAAACTCATACTTTTCAAGATATTTCTTTTCTTGTAGCAAGGAGGATTATTACAATTTAAACTAGTGATGCAGGTAATTTGAAATTTGTAGCACATTGGGAGCCTCTTGTATTCCCCTTTTATTGTTTGGTAAGGAGCCTTGGTGGCACACTGATTAATGCATTCAGCGGTTAACTAAAAAGCCAGTGATTCAAATCCACCAGCAGCTTTATGGAAGGAAGATTTACAACCTCGGAAACCCTGTAGAGCTCTCTGTCCTACAGGGTCGCTGGAAATCCGAACTGACTCAATGTCAGCTTATAGATTTTAGCCTGGTAATTGGAATATGTGTGGTGTTTTTTCACTCTTACTGTAGAGCTTGAAGCATCAGTTTTCAATGTGAAAGTGTTACAGAGTTAATATTTATTGGATTTGGAGTTTTATTACATTTATCGAGCTTGACTTTGATACCGAAATAGCAGGGCTTCCTTTCATTTGTTTCCATATTCTATTGGGAAATGTGACTTCTACTTCATCATTGTCATTTATGGCCGGAGTTTACAGGATTGTATTTCAGGGACTAGCTGTGCCGGAGCAGTGTGCTGCACTAGTTGGTGGAGCAAAGAGGAATTGATACCTGTGGTAATTTCTTGATAATTTGCCATCTGTGACTCTGTACTTAGTACTGACTTTGGTGACACTTGAAATGATGCTATTAAGAAAAAAAACCAAAAAACGGATAGAATGTAGCTTGTCATGTTAGTCCGATAACTGAGTTTTGAAATATTAAGTATGAAAATGGGTGCATAATAAAGAAACTTAATTTTTCCACTTTCTTAAAAATATTATTCAGTATTTATTAAATATCTAAAATCCATGTCATGCGATTTGGTTCAGAAATGAGAGAGAGAGAGAACTGTGAGTTTGTATGGAGAATTTTTTCCCTTTACTCTGTAGTCCAAGGTATTTAGGCGTTTGGAAGCCGTTTTGACCTGTCACCATGTAACTAGATTATTAGACTGCCTGCGCTGCAATCCTGAAGGCACGTGGTTTGAATCCACCAGCTGCTCTGTGGGAGGAGGCTGGGCAGTCTTCTCCCATGCAATTGTCTGCCTCTGAAAGCCCGCCAGAGGGTCAGCCATGAGTTGGTTCTGACTCAACGGGACCCAACAGCAACAATCCTAGGGACAATATTTATTTGTCTGTTAATGGTGATAGCCTTCTACAGTATACTTATAAAATTATTTGAAATATATAGAGAGCTCTGATAAAGTGTTCATATTGATGGAGACAACTAGCTGGAGTTACACAGAGTTATGCTCAGGTTGGTAAATTCTTTTTACATACTGTGTGCCAGGAGTGTGAAGTGAGTGGAGTCAGTTTCTGCTCCCAAAGCACTGGAAGTCTCATTTAAGAGAGATACATCAAACATATGATTGAATAAGTAATTGGTTATAATCTTGATGAATGGCATTAATAAGAAATGCTGGGTACTATGAGACCTTGTTTGGGAGCACCCAAGGAAAGACTCTCCAAAGAGATTTCATCTAAATTAAGTCTTAGACTAAAGAGGATTGAAGGTGAATGTAGAAGAAGAAAGATGTTCTGGTGGCCTAGTGGCAAGCTGTGCTATAATCCCTAAGGCGTGTGGTTCAGGGCCACCAGCCACTCCTTGGAAGAAGGATGGGCAGTCTCCTCCCATGCAGTTAACTGCCTCTGAAAACCTGCCAGCGGGT